ATTCTTTTTGGATTTCTCTTAACTGAGGTCATGCTAACTCTAACTAATACAAAGGTATTGAGAATCTAAATTATCATGGCATTTATGGAAATGAAAATAAAGACAGGTCTGAAGTGCGATATGACAAACAGAATTTGTATCTCCAAGCTGAACAGCCTTCCCTTCCCTTTCATTTCCTAAAATGACCCTGACTTCTTATTGTACTGCCTATATCTCCTCTTCTCCCTTGACCTCCCACTTACTAAGTTCACTAGTGCCTTTCTATAAACAAGGGTAATCACTCTAACCCTGCCTTTCTGGCACCAAACTGTCCCAATTCCTAATTTTCCTAGCACAGTCCTAAAGTTGTATTACCTCCGCATGCGCTTTCCCTCTTCCTGCTTGCAGGCTCTCACCACTCCACTCCAGTGTAGTGGTGGTTGCACACCACCACTCCAGCTGTACTCCTGCACACCACATTCACCACGCCACAACCCCTGATTGAAAACCATTAATGACTACTTATTGGCTAAATAGCCATGCTACCGCCTTTCACCTCCCAACCTCGTAATGGACACAACAGAGAATGCAAAGCAATCACAGCAGTGCTCTCCAAAAGAGCAGCCCAGAATCCTTCCCAAAAGAATGTTTCAATAGCCAGTACTGACCAGTAGGAACTGGCACTCAGGAAGAAACCCACTTGTATCCCTGATATAAAAGATAAAATCTAAACTCCTTGGTTTGTATTTCAAAACCCCGAAGTGTCTATTACTCTCTCAAAGTTTTACAGACAATGAGGCTATTAAAAAAAAAAAAAAAAAAAAAGATGTGAAAGCCTTTGAAATGGAACAAAAACTTACTGGGTATTTTCAGTGAAAAACTAGTTTTTGCCTCGCGGACGCTTCTGGGTTTTTTGATTCTACAGGATCTCTGTATCAGTCACTGTCTTGGAGCTATTTATAACTCTGTGAGTTATAGATGACTGATCGCTATGCAAATGATTCTTGTACATAGACATGAAATAAATTTTGTCTGGGGAGGTTCAATTGATTTCCTTCCTCCACTATGGAAGAAGCCAGTTTTGCCTCTATTCTAAATTCACTTCAGTACTCTATTGCTCTTTGAATGTTCCTTTAAGTGAGTTGTAACATCTTGCTCATTCTCTGATTAATTAATGCGTTAAACTCATTTGTCATGAGTTCATTTTATATTTGTATGAGAGTCATGATTTCATGATTTTGCCTTAAAATTTTTTTTTTTAAAATATCCTTTTAGCTAACTCTTTTTTCTTTTTTCTTTTTTTTTTTTTTTTTTGCAGTATGCGGGCCTCTCACTGTTGTGGCCTCTCCAGTTGCAGAGCACAAGCTCCAGACGCGCAGGCTCAGCGGCCATGGCTCATGGGCCCAGCCGCTCCGCGGCATGTGGGATCTTCCTGGACCGGGGCACGAACCCGTGTCCCCTGCATCAGCAGGTGGACTCTCAACCACTGCGCCACCAGGGAAGCCCTAGCTAACTCTTTTTTCATTATTGCCTTTAAACTTTTATTACATCCCCAATATAGAATGTCTTCTCTGGCTCTTTCTACCTGACACTACTGATTCTTCCCATTTCAGAGAGGAAACTAATCTCCTCCATCATGTCCTCAAACTACAAAAGCCATGCTTTTCCATGACGAACCTAGACTGCAATGATGTTAATTTATTTTACAATTATTGTTTCTTTGTAATGCCTTCTACAAAATGCACTGTTTCATTCACATGTTGTAGACAGTGCATATTTATCTTACATCATTAATTCATTTATATGTAAGCAACTTCTCTCCTCAATTAAAGTGCAAGCTCCTTGAGAGAACTGATCACAATTCCTTTTCCTTTTCTCCTCTTCACTGTCTACCTAGTACCTTAGTGCCCAATAAATATCCACTCTGAGTCCCCAGTATATGTAGGAAGGATGCTTGCAAGCTGGTAACCACTAGTTTGTTCTCTGTATCTGTGAGTCTGTTTCTCTTCTGTTTTGTTTTATACCTTTGTTTTACTTTTTAGATTCCACAGACAAATACTCTGTTATCACTTATATGTGGAATCTAAAAAGGATCCTAAAAAGGATCCTTCCAACCAAGATTTTTTTCAGGTAATCACTTAGCTTTATTTGGGGAATCAACCTACTATGTTTTGGCTGAAGGTGGTTCCTTCCTAGGAGAATTCACACTAAACTTTAATGAAGATAATGGAAGCTTCTGTGAAACACCAAATAAAGTGTAACACTGATCAGAAAGGCTAGGGAAAAAAGAATAAATTGACATGCTTCTGGGTACTTTTTTCCCTCAACTGTCAGTACTGTGTATACCTATATTCCTAAGAATAGTCTATGTGAGGATTATATACATTCAGTTCAACATTCATTCTTTGATTTTACAAATGTTTATTGATTGTCAACTATATGTTAGAAATGTTTTGCAGGCCCTGGGGGTGCATTTGTAAATAAAATGTAATTTCTATTCCAAGAAGCTTACCTGCTAGTGAAGAAGGAGAGGGAAGTATTGAGAAAGAAAAGGGAAACAGACACAACTGCGACCTGAGCATATAGATAATTGGTGACAAGCCAAATCAAGTTGCTCGTTATGACAAAAAAGACCTTCTTATTTTCAGGTATTATAACTACTAAACCTTTAAAATTAATCTATTGTAAATACTCCTAATGGAATAATGAAATTTCAAATTTTGCAGATCTGTATCACCAGGACACGTATCCTACATTCAAAGCCTTACATACCCTAATACTACCTAAACCAAATGAGAGACCACCAACATTTTTCTATGGTTTAAGTGCTAAGTTGTGAGAGACTAATAAATGGTCTTGAGACTGCTTCCAGCATATTTGATTTTATGAACTATAAAATACTTTACCAGCTGAACAGTCTACCAAGTATATTAAATCCACTCTTTATAATGCCATATGAAGTCAAAGGATTTCATAACATTTGAGCATTAACATTATTACTGAGCATTTTCATTCATTATTACCGAGGTTTTACTTATGATAATTATTTCAAATTAAAACCATCTTGAGAAAACTGCCACTGTAAAAAACCTAGTTCATTTAACCAGTTTTATTTTTCTCATGATGATTTTTTATTTTTTACCTTTATTCTTAGCGGAACCCTTAGAATAAGGCATTTAAGATTTTATACCATAGTACTATGTTAGTAAAGAGATTATGTAAATAAAAAAGACCAACAAATACTAATAAAAGTTATAGGCTTCTTGTTGTTATTGATAATTTTCAGCTTCACATGACATACTAGTATAATCAAAATGATTAAATAAGAAAAAATAAGCAATCACGTAATGATAACGATAACCTAACACTTGTCTGGTCCTAAATATTTTCACATATATTTTCTTTCTTAATTCTCACAACAGTGTGATAAAATATGTTTAATTATATTCACTTTTACAGACGAAGGAATCAAGAAACAAGCGATTTACTAAATGTTGAAGTGGCATTTTGTGTACTGAACCCAGGTCCTCAAACTCAACATTTCTGTTTTGGTTCATACTTTTAAAAAGAGCATTTAATTTACAAGCCAAATACTGTTGGCAAGACACTTTCTAAGGATAAGTAAAATATATGTGGAGGAACACTAAACATTTTATTCACTTACGATGTCATCATGCTGAAACCAAGAAAGTCAGTGTACTTTCCCAATGGCCTGGTTAAATCTAAGGAATAGATTATTTCCCAGCTAGGGTCTGCACACTGTCGATCAAAATCACTTGCTTACACAGGACTAAAATACTCTCAATTAGCATCTTTCCTTTCCTCACACTCAAAATATAAATATTTTATTCTTAATTAGCCTTATTGTTTAAAAGTTTCTTATTTTTCACCTGCTCATTAAAAACATTAAAAAAAAATCACCACTAGACCCAAGTCACTCAATATTTTGTGTGTTTTCAAAAGTTTTAAACACAAAATATGCATATTCAATATTTGTATCATACTCTCCATATAGCTTTAAATATCTCCCCCTGTATATAATAGCATGTCAATATTTTCTTTTTGAAAATATGACTTTTAATGGCTGAATAATATTTCATCGTTAGGTGGTACCATAATTTATTTTACCATTCTTTCAATTCATGTGGTTTTTATTATAAAAATGTTTATTTATAAAGTAATCTAACCATGTTTTTTAAAACTTGAGGAACAGAGAAAGGAATGATATCACAGCCCTAATTCTTGTCTAACAAGTCGCTGTTATAAGATTTGCTTGCTTCTTTTTTTATACACCTATCATCATATGTTATCATTAAAGTACACGTAATTTTATATCTTGAATTTGTTTCCATTTAACATTATATAATAAACCTTTTCCAAAATCTTTGTGTCATGCTGGGTGGAAATTTCACACTTTATCTAACCATTACTTTATTGCCGAACAATAAGTCATCTCCCCTTTTTTTCTATAAAAATGTATATCATTTTCCAATAAATATTGCAAGCACGTAATCTTTATATATTTGCACTTAAAAAAATGATTTCCTAACATCAGATTCCTGCAAGTAAGATTATTGAAAAAAAGGCTAACCAGCTTTTATCATTATTTGGATATTGTAAAAAAAAAAAAAATGTTGACTGCCCTTCAAAGTATAAATAGCAACCTAATCTCAGTTTCTTATCAACTAGTCCTTTTAGTGATTGGGAAATACAGAAACAAATAAGCATAATTACATTTAAGCTAATTATGTCTTCCATAAATTAGTGCATCACCTGTCTTGAGAGAGCAGTGACCACTTAAACACACACAATTTTTTTCTTAATTCTTTTTTTTTTTTTTCATTTTAAAAGTTTGTATCTACATATCTTTCTGGTATAGTTTAGCTTACTTTCTCCTTTGAATCTTAGATATAGTTTTAGAAACGCTTTCCAGAACTGCTTCCTTTGGGGAGTGCTCTGAAATCCACATCAGGACACAGCAGTAATCCTGATAGAAGGACAAAGAAAATGCCCCAACTTACCATTTCTAACGCATGTACACGGTCCTGCAAATAAAGCATAATACATAATTATTAAAACAAAGCTATAAAAAATCATTTCAAGTTTACTTAATTTTTAGATTTTCTATTTATCCTCTATGAACAATAACATTTAAAAAATGTAAAAAATGAAAACTCCTACTCAGGATAATCTCTCCAATAGAAAAATAGTCATAAAAGAATCACTTTTCTCATCTCAACTAGTGTTAGGAGGACTACAAGGTTTAATTTAATAGTAAATACCATAAATTCAAACATAGTTACGAAGTGGAATAGATTTTATCACTTTTGCATTGGTAAAATTATTCATCTATTTAGTGAAATATAACTATTAGATCTGAATATATGAACCACTAGACAATAGTAGTGATTTAAAAAAGGAATTTAGCACATATACCAGCTCTCAATTAGGTATACAGCACAAAGTATGCTCTCACAGGAAGTAAAGTTCAGACATAAGAATGACTTCACCAATTAAAATTAATAAGTACACTGTTAATTGAAACAAGTCAGGAAAAGTAAATGAGAAAGATATGTCACATGCAGCCAATCCTGAACCCAGAAAGGTCTTCATTACCTACAATATCTTAGAAGGTTTCATAGAAATACTGTTTTTAAAAAGAGTCAGTGATAATATCACTTTAAAAGCTAAATGATTAAGAATGGTTTCATTCTCAATCCAACAGTTGTGTTCTCAACTCTTCCCAGAGCTAACAGCTACATACTAAAAGTTTTTACCAAAAAAAAAAAAAAAAAAAAAAAGCTGACTTGAGAGAGAGGAGATTGAAAATTCAAGGAAGTGCAAAGCCATCCTTTTTACGAGGGTCAAGGCCACTTTTCTTTCTATTCTTTCATTTTAAGTAGTTGGAGGAGATATATAAAATCTGGATTTTTAAAAATTAAATTGTTTGCGCTAAGAGGGAAAGGAAGGAAAATGGTGCAGAGGGCCATTCAGCTCAGATCTCTGTGACCGTACAGAGACTGACAGAGACCCATGACACTTAGGAGCATAAACTTGGCTCTCCCCTGCATTCTCCCAGCTTCACCTAGCACACAGAGGCCTTGCCTTTGAGGACTTCTGCAACCCAGCCTTCAACCCTCAGACTGCGAAACTGGGTTGAACATTTCTGCCTCTTTAAATATTTGGCTATGTGGGCACAAGCTAAATGAATATATTATGCAAAATCAGCCCAAAGCAGATTGCTTTTAACAATATAATCTGTTTAATTACATTTTGTTGGCATACTTGAGAGAACCTCACCCTTACCCCCATAATTTTCATAAAATAACTGCTATTTTATTGGTGACTTGTGTACTGTCACATTTGAGTAGCTCGTAATAAATGCATATAATGCCTCAACGGGGCTTTGATCTGTTCTTACCAGGCATCTTATTCACAGTGCATCTGGGACAAAATCATTCAGCAAAGTGTTATCATCACTTGCAGACTGAACAGAACCTCATTAGACAGTCTTTGGGAAGTATCGCATTTATATGAACCATCTTGGAAGGCTGAAAATATTTACAGCCACTATTTGGGCCTTAAGTTTTCCCCACACCATGTACCTATGGGGCTCATATTATTTAGAATTAGCATATTTTAAAAGCACACATACAGCTGGTTTGAAATCCGTGATATCATATGATGCCAAAATAGTACAACTGAATTAAATTCCATTTTAATTCATAGCTCACTGTTTGGTAAAGATAAACTGATATAATTTATGTATTACTGTCTTCATTTTACTTAAATATTTGTTACAGGATTTTAAAATACGCACTGTCATGGATTACATGTTTGTGTACTCAGAATTCATGCATTAAAACCCCAATCCCTAATGTGATGGCATTAGGAGATGTGGCCTTTGGGAGGTAACCAGGTCATGAGGATCGAGCCTTCATGGGATTAGTGCCCTTATAAGAAGAGACACAAGAATGCTTGCCTCTCTTTCTGCTCTCTGCCAGGTAAGGGAATAAGGAGAAGATGGCCATCTACAAGCCAGGAAGAGGTCCCTTACCAAGAACCGAATCTGCCAGCACCTCGACCTTGGACTTGCCAGCCTCCAGAACCGTGAGAAATAAATGTTTGCTGTTTAAGCCACCCAGGCTACAATAATTTGTTATAGCAGTCCCAGCTGACTGAAACATAACCCTAGTCTATAAGGCTAAAACGCAAATGGTCAAAAAATCTCAATTTCGTTAAAATATAAAGATCAATAATCTATTTCAATACAATTTACTTATGTCTGTCTATAATCTACTCCATTCCAAAATGGTACTGAGATAGCTTTCAATGAAAAATATATATGTTAAGAAAATGAGAAAATTAGGGAAACAAGAAATTCAATTCATTAGTCTGAATTTAAATAATTCAGTTTGCCAATCAACAACAGCTAATAGGATACCCGTCATTGTTGCCAATTAGTGAGCTCTGTCTAAACTGCAGTTTTGTTGGCCTTAATTGTAGGCCATAAATAAAAACAAACTACTCCTAATCTTTATGAACTTATTAACTTGCTTTTTTTAACATCTTTATTGGAGTATAATTGCTTTACAATGGTGTGTTAGTTTCTGCTGTATAACAAAGTGAATCAGCTATCTGTATACATATATCCCCATATCCCTCCCTCTTGCATCTCCCTCCCACCCTCCCTATCCCACCCTCTAGGTGGTCACAAAGCACCCAGCTGATCTCCCTGTGCTATGCGGCTGCTTCCCACTAGCTATCTATTTTACGTTTGGTAGTGTATATATGTCCATGCCACTCTCTCACTTCGTCCCAGCTTACCCTTCCCCCTCCCCATGTCCTCTAGTCCATTCTCTATGTCTGCGTCTTTATTCCTGTCCTGCCCCTACATTCTTCAGAACCTTCTTTTTTTTGTTTTTTTAGATTCTATATATATGTGTTAGCATACGGTATTTGTTTTTCTCTTTCTGAGTTACTTCACTCTGTATGACAGACTCTAGGTCCATCCACTTCACTACAAATAACTCTTTTTATGGCTGAGTAATATTCTATTGTATATATGTGCCACATCTTTATCCATTCATCCGTCGATGGACACTTAGGTTGCTTCCATGTCCTGGCTATTGTAAATAGTGAGGCAATGAACACTGTGGTATGTGACTCTTTTTGAATTATGGTTTTCTCAGGTTATATGCCCAGTAGTGGGATTGCTGGGTCATATGGTAGTTCTATTTTTAGTTTTTTAAGGAACCTCCATACTGTTCTCCATAGTGGCTGTATCAATTTAAGAAATGTATTGCGAAATTTAAATGGTTGAAGTTGACTTCTTTTTTGGCAGAAAAGATTAGTTATTATAATTCTGTATATAAAAGAATTAGGCTACTGCAAATCTCTATTCTCAAACAAAATATTTGCATACTTCTGCTCATGTTCTTATCATTAAAATATCCAATAACTTAAGCCAATATTGTGGCACTGATACAGTCTATGAAAACACATGCCAGTATATGTCTTGGAATGAATATATAATTATACCAAAATATATTCTCCCTATCCTCTCCCACTCTTACTATAACTGCAACTGTAGTGTTTTGTTGTTGCTGTTTAATCTTCAATTTTCATTTCAACAGATTTTATCTTCAAGCTTGGCCTGCAGGTTCAGCACTCTCCCTCCTCTCCTACCACATACACACTCCTAAGGTTAGATCCCCAAAAGAAAAGAATTGCTAGGATATTGAAAGGGGGGAGAGTAGGTGAGAGGAGTAGAGGGGGAAGACAGAAGTAATGAAGTAATGAAGATACTGTCAGTAAAATCATGACATTTCAGGTGGTTTTAATAAATCAGTGGTTCTTATTTTTGTAGTCATGGACTTTGAGAATCCTTTCCCCAGGAAAATGTACACTATACACAACACACAGAATTTTGTATATATTTTTAGGGGAATTGCAGACTCTCTGAAACCCACTCATGGGCCTCCAAGTGCTTTTACTCCAAATAAAAACACTTGAAATAAGATGTAAGAATTATTTTAGTAGACCAAATAATTTATTTTAAATAAATTATTTTATTATGCCAAATAAACTATTTTATTAGACCAAATCTATTTATTTCTCCTGTATGAAATATTTCTGGATAACAAGGAAAGGAACAATGGGGAGTGGAAGGTTAAAAATTGGAGGAGAAATTTCCTTCAAATGTTTTGAAGAAAAAAGCTCTTAGGGAAAAAATATGTTTTATCGTTACCAGTTTTTTTGTGATTGGAGAGTCCCTTGCCCACTATTTTTTAGTGCTATTTAAGATGGGGAAAGTCTAAGAAAAACCTAAAACGGCAGCAACTATTTTAATGTTTACTCTTAAGGATTATACATATATAGTCACTGCATAGTCCTTGAGTTACAATGAAGAGTACTAGCTGTTATTATCAGTGTGAAAACTACATACCATTTCTAAATGAAAACAATAATGCTAGAAATCACATTTTAATTTATTCTGGGCTTGACAGATGGAGTAAGGTGAGTTATATTTTTGGGAAGGACAATAGCACATGCACTATAAAAAAAAGATGTATTTTAACTTTTTATCATTAGGTTAGTAACCTGTCTTGAGCTGTATATATTCCTTTGCTACCTGGTCACAGTGGGGCGTACATTAGAGTTTATGAATAAACCAAAGCAAATTCATTAGTATCACTGGAGATGGGAACATATTTGTAGGCTGTTAGGAAATGAAGGCTACGTGGAGAGTTGGTATCTGAATCCTTGGTCATTAACAGTTTATTTGACTCAGCTGAGCCAATCAACTAGCCACATTGATTCATCCATCCCATCTAAGAGATGAAATAGAGACTCACAGGTCTGAATACTCAGAGTTCTCTCCCCCTGATAAGTAGAGCTGTACAGGTCTAGTGACTTTATCACAATAATGCAGCATTTTCCAAAAGTGCTTTAAATACATCCATTAGCGTACAAGAAAAGAACAATACTGGCGTAAAAATATAATGAAAGTCTCTATTGCTTCCAAGTCTAAGAAACATTACAA